TTATTTTACCTGCATACATATATATTTGTAATACAGTTTTATAATCTATTATTTACTTCATAATATATCATGACCAAACATATTGACAAAATACATTGTTATATGATTTCTTTATGATTCTTTTTTTGTATTTAATCTGTTTGAGGGGAGCGCGTGGGTGGCTCAGTCTGTTAAGCACCTGCCTTTGCTCAGGTCATGATCCTGCTCCCTGTTCAGCACGGAATCTGCTTCTCCCTCTGCCCCTCCCCCTGCTCATGCTTATGCTCTTTCTCTCTCTCTCAAATAAATAAATAAAATCTTAAAAAAACAATCTGTTTGATTTTGTTTTTAAGTACATTCTTACATATAAGCATAAATTTAAATAAATACATAGCAGAAACTTCCATATACATATTAAACTCTTTTCCTACTATTGTCATTTTTTTTCCCTATTTTGCTTTCCACCTTGCTTACCATCTTCACTCATTAATATATATGGTTCACTCTATACATATCAAAGTACCTTTTCCACACATTCTTTATAACCATTGCAATATTGTCTTCTGAAAGTTGGTATGACAGGTAAAGCTACTCCCAACTCTGACCTCTTACCCCACCATTTTAGGATAACCTGTTCTGTTTTGATTTTTCTGTGTTTGGGTGCTTGTAAGTATTTCTTTTTAAGGATAATTTTAACATTATAGAATTTACAAATTTCACCACGGTAAGAGGAGGTATACTGTTTTCTAATTAGACTGCTACTTCCTAACTGCTTTTGGTTTGAAATCTTTCCTTTATTCAGAGAGATTGTCTTCTAATTTTTTCTTTAATTATTTCTTCTCATTCTTTGCTTGTAAAGTAATTGTGTTATGTGTTGTGTTTTTTGTGTGTGTGTATATGTGTGTGTGTTGTGTTATGTTTTATCTGTATATATAATACACATATGTAATAAACACATATTTATAATACACATATATAATAAACACCTATTAACATATCTGTTGCACTCTGTTGCTGTTTTAAGCACTATTATGTGCATAGAAATAGATATACAATCAGCTGTAGATATAATGTGTGTGTGTACATATAATATAAGGAAACTTAAACTCAGAACAATGAGTAACTTACCCATAGTCAAAGAGTTATGAAACAGAGTAGCTGGCCCTGGAACCCAGGCATTCCATTCTAGAAGTTGTGTTATTCATTATTCTGAATTTATAAAGAAATATAAATGTAAATATATTAATATTTATATTAATATAATATGTTTATGTAATATACATAAATGTGTATACATTTATGTCTTTTTAAAAATTTTTTTATTATGTTATGTTAGTCACCATAGAGTACATCATTAGTTTTTGATGTAGTGTTCCATGATTCATTGTTTGTGTATAACACCCAGTGCTCCATGCAATACATGCCCTCCTTAATACCCATCACCGGGCTCATCCATCCCCCCCACCCCCCTTCCCTCTAAAACCCTCAGTTTGTTTCCCGGAGTCTGTAGTCTCTCATGGTTCGTCTTCCCCTCTGGTATCCCGCGCTTCATTTTTCCCTTCCTTCTCCTAACGTCCTCCATGCTATTCCTTATGTTCCACAAATAAGTGAAACCATATGATAGTTGTCTTTCTCTGCTTGACTTATTTCACCTAGCATAATCTCCTCCAGTTCCATCCATGTTGATGCACATGTTGGGTATTCATCCTTTCTGATGGCTGAGTAATATTCTATTGTATATATGGATCACATCTTCTTTATCCATTCGTCTATTGGAGGGCATCTCAGCTCCTTCCACAGTTTGGCTATTGCGGACATTGCTGCTATGAACATTGGGGTGTATATGGCCCTTCTTTTCACTACATCTGTATCTTTGGGGTAAATACCCAGTAATGCAATTGCTGGGTCATAGGGTAGCACTATTTTTAATTTTTTGAGGCACCTCCACACTGTTTTCCAAAGTGGCTATACCAACTTGCATTCCCACCAACAGTGTAAGAGGGTTCCCCTTTCTCCACAACCTCTCCAACATTTGTTGTTTCTTGCCTTGTCAATTTAACCATTTTAACTGGTGTAACGTGGTATCTCAATGTGGTTTTGATTTGAATTTCCCTGATGACTAATGATGTTGAGCATTTTTTCATGTGTCTGTTAGCCATTTGTATGTCTTCTTTGGAGAAGTGTCTGTTCATGTCTTCTGCCCATTTTTTGACTTGATTATTTGTTTTTTGGGTGTTGGAGTTTGAGAAGTTCTTTATAGATCAACAGGAAGAAATTGACAACCTGAATATATATTTATATCTTGTGTATGTGTGTGTGTGTGATTTCCTGAAATTTCTCCATGCTTTAAGTCTTTTTAAAAAGTCATTTCATTTTGGGCGCCTGGGTGGCTCAGTCGTTAAGCGTCCGCCTTCAGCTCAGGTCATGATCCCAGGGTCCTGGGATCGAGTCCCGCATCGGGCTCCCCGCTCAGCGGGAAGCCTGCTTCTCCCTCTCCCACTCCCCCGGCTTGTGTTCCCTCTCTCACTGTCGAAAAATAAATAAAATCTTTAAAAAAAAAAGTCATTTCATTTTAAAAATATGTTTTCTCGGGGCCCCTGGGTGGCTCAGATGGTTAAGCGTCTGCCTTCAGCTCAGGTCATGATCTCAGGGTCCTGGGATCGAGTCCCACTCCCTCTTCCTGCCACTCCCCCTGCTTGTACTCTCCCTCTCTCTCTCTCTGGCAAATAAATAAATAAATAAAATCTCTTTAAAAAATATGTTTTCTCTAATTTCTGGGAAAAGTTTTTGAACATATCTACTCATAGTTTAAAAATTCCATTTGTTCTAATATCCATTTGGATTTTTGGTGCCTCCATTACATTTTTAAAAATTTGACAGTTGTGCTTTCAATTTGAAGTAATTTTTCTATTCTTACTCATTTTTAATGGATATCATGTTCTTTCACTGTAAAGATTACAAAGGGATATTCATATATTTTTCATGTTTCTTGTGATATGTTTTTTCCAATAGGAGGTCTTTCATTTGATTCCTTGGCTAATTTAGCTACTTTGAACTCTTCAATCTGCTAGTATTTTCATAAATACTAAATACTATTTATCTTTTCCTTCTAGAAGTATGAGAGGAAATATATTTGTTTAGAAGTTGCTGGTGGATTCTATTAGAGAACAATGGACCTCTCTGAAGAAATATTAGAGACTTAATGAAATGAGAGTTCCTGTACTTGGATTTCCATTGTTTCACTTGGCTGCATTAGGTGGTCAGTAACGTATCAGGAGGAGATTAAAGAGCTACCTTTGGAGGAGACATGGCTAAAGCTTCATTGTCATAGTGACTAGTATTTTTTCCTTTTTTCTCTCTTGTGGCAGTAGTGGTCATTCTGTTTTATCATCAGCACAACCGTCGCCCCTTACTAGTCAGTAACAGAAATGTTTCCAATTTATTGCATAGACACTTAAATGAGGATTGAACACTGCAGTAGCCATAGAACTTGGGGGATCCTGGCACCTTGTGAACCTCCCAGTGCTGAGCAGTCCCTCTGGTGGGCCCCGTGGCCTCCCCCTTTGCATGAAGCCCTCCTGCTTTAAGCTTCGGAATGTTAGGAGAGGGCCACTGAAGCCCCTGACTACTTATTTTCCACATGAGCCTTTTATTGGGGGGTGGGGGTGGGACTTTGTAGTATCCATTTATTGAAAAAACAGACTTTGAGCGCCTCCTGTTTCTCATTTACTCTTGCTAGTTCCACCTCTCTATCCTGTCTCTTTATTTGTTGTTGTTTTTTTTTTTAAGATTTTATTTATTTATTTGACAGAGAGAGAGAGAGAGCACAAGTAGGCAGAGTGGCAGGCAGATGGAGAGGGAGAAACAGGCTGTCCGCTGAGCAGGGAGCCAGATGCGGGGCTCAATCCCAAGACCCCAGGATCATGACCTGAGCCGAAGGCAGCCGCTTAACGGACTGAGCCACCCAGGCGCCCTGTCTATCCTGTCTCTTAAAATCAGTGTAGTGGAAATTCCTTAAAATTCTTGGCATATGAATGGACTTTTGCCTGGCTTCCAATACACATACCAATTCTCCACGACTTTGACAATTTATTTATGTATTTCACTGGGAATTTTAAATGGGTGGAGAATTTAATAAATGAATTTCTAAGATCAACCTTAGTAAGAGTTACCAATAATTAAGCTTGGGAATATTGAATTCAATATACAAATATTAAAATAATTATGCACAGAAAGTGAGAATTGGGCTTTGGAAGAAAAGATATATTTCCATCTGCTCCAAGAAGCCTTTCCAGTATTTTTATCTCTCTAAATTCCCATGGCCCTTCTTAACTATTTTTATGCTTACAATCATCCTGTGTGGGAGGTATATGTGGGTGGGTGGGGGGGTGGACTCCACAACCAAATTATAACTTCTTGAGAATTGGGACAGTGTCATTTTTAAATTTTCTAGTTTCAAGCATAGTACATAGCATCAGTATTCATTAGATATTTATTGAATCATTTATGTACTTTGTACTGATAAAATTTAGATGGTTTAGCATTATAGGGGTGCCAACGAATAGAGGCGATCCTCAGTGCTAGAAATCTAGAGTAGATATTTTTGTGTGTGTGAGTTCTGTGCCCAATGTGGGGCTTGAATTCATGACCTGGAGATCAAGAATCACATGCTCTCCTGACTGAGCCAGCTAGGTGCCCCTAGAATAGATTTCTTTTTGCAATTTTGTAATCGACAACTTGTAGAGGGTTTTTGGTGAATATATTTGCTTGGGAATCCAAATGTTACTCTCTACCAATATGCAGTGAAGTTTAAAACTATGTGTTTTGATCAGTAATTGTATTTTTCTTCATCTAAAAACATTTTTAAAAGTTTCAGTATTTCATAATCCTAACACATAAAGAATCTTGTAGATGTTCCTAAATATATATTGAAAATTGATATTAAAAGTTACTATTGTTTGACGATAAAGATGCCCCATGATCTACAGAACTCTTTAAATATTTTGCCTCTCTTTTTTCAGGCCCTACTTGTATCTAATGTTTCTCGAAAGAGGTTTTCAACTGGGGAAGTTATTAACTTGATGTCAGCAGATGCCCAGCAGCTCATGGACTTGACAGCAAACCTCAATCTCCTCTGGTCAGCCCCTTTTCAGATCCTGATGGCCATATCACTTCTTTGGCAAGAGCTGGGTCCAGCTGTGTTAGCAGGGGTAGCAGTCCTTGTGTTTGTTATACCGATAAATGCTTTAGTTGCAACTAGAGTAAAAAAGCTAAAGGTAAGAAAAAGACTGCCTCATGTTACATATGTCAAACAGAAGCTGAATTTTCTGACTGGAGTTGACAATAACCATCTAGTTAATTCTGTACATGTGGAAATAATCCAGATTTATCATTCATTCATTCATTCAACCAGTATTGATTGGACATCTGTTCTGTGCCAAAGTACAGCAGTGAGGAGAACTGATAAGTTCCAGCTTTCATTAGAGGAGACAGGCATTAAGAAATAAATAAAGAACATAATGCCTGGTGTTAATTTGTATACAAAGAAATATAACTTAGGCTAGGGTGATAGAGTAACAATGACCGCCATTTCACATACAGGGGCAGTAAAGTCCTCAGGAAAGAAACAATACATCAGCAGGGTAAGCGAGGAATCCATGTGGATGTCTGAGAAAAAGATTTACTAAGCAGAAGAAACAGTGTGCATGCACAGCCTGGAGGTAAGGGTATACTCATTTTGTCTGAAGAGTGGGCTACATTGAGCAAGACGTGACTGCATACAGCAAGTAGATAGTAAGTGCTTAACTGAATTCATTTAAATATTCTTCCTTTACATTCAGTCATTCATCTTACTATCAATACGTTTTTTGACATCTGACATGTACCAGACAGTGTGCACTATGCTGTACTGTAGGAATGGAGAGACGGGACACAGTTCATTGCACTGAAAAGCCACGTGCGCTGTCAGGGGAGAGACAAATGATTTCACGTGTTAAAGTAACCACACAGGTGCAGATGTATTGCTTATGACACTTACTTTATTATTTTAAATGGATCAAAGATTAATAATATCTATGTATGCAATAATATCTGTGTATGGACATGCAAATATGTCAATCATATGTTAGGGGAAAAAAGAAAGAAAGATGTATGTATGTACATGTGTATATTATGCATATATGTACATAAATATCCTTAATCCAGTTTTGAAAATGTGAATATACCAATGCATGTGGGTGTGATAGAGAGGCATAAATGAAGTTATGTAGATATAGATATAAATGGACTTGGATAAGCATAGAAATAATCTAGAGATAAAGCACCAGTCTTTTAAGAATAGTTACCTATAGGGGCGCCTCGGTGGCTCAGTCGGTTAGGTCGTCAGCTCTTGATCTCAGCTCAGACCTGGATCTCAGGGTCGTGAGTTCAACCCCACACTCAGCGTGGAGCCTACATTTAAGGAAAAAAAAAAAAAAGATTACCTGTAAAGTAGAATTAGATGGAAAGAGGGAAGATTTTTCACTTATTACTTTAATACATTTTTTTTTAAAGATTTTATTTATTAATTTGACACAGAGAGACACAGCGAGAGAGGGAACACAAGCAGGGGGAGCAGGAGAGGGAGAAGCGGGCTTCCCACGGAGCAGGGAGCCCAATGCGGGGCTCGATCCCAGGACCCTGGGACCATGACCTGAGCCGAAGGCAGACGCTTAATGACTGAGCCACCCAGGCGCCCCTACTTTAATACATTTAAGTGATGAAGGTTTAGGCCTTCTTTTATATTTTTCTGAATTTTTAAAATTCAAATTACCAAATAATTACCAAATAATTACCAAAAAGATGACTAGTCTTTAAAAGTGAGACTAGAATATACCATATAACTATGAAATAATTATGAATTATTAACACACTAGTATTTAGAATAACAAGCTTGTTTATAATTTTAATAAATACTTTTAAACTAGCTTTTTAAAACATTCTATATTTTAAGTAATTTAAATTCAAATATTTAGGAATGGAAATAGATTTGGGGACCTTAATATAGGGCCCTAAAACTTTCAAAGAGACTGCAATATTATGTACAAATATGCTAAGCAGAAAATATGCCTTTAATCACACAAACAGTATTATGAATGTTAACTTGTAAATGTGTCCTTTGTTAGATATACAAATATTGTACTTATTATTATTTAAATCATAATTATGACAATATTTTTGGAAGAAATCCTTAAGAAGCAATACCCAAGCAATGATAAGTATAAAATAATATAAATGTTAAATATTTGAATAAATATACAGTAATTACATAAGATTTGCCAAAAAAGAGTCAGTGTTTGAAAATATACATTTTAATCACAAGTATTAACACTCAGGATAGTGTACTTACAATATACAAACCTTTATTTTTATTCCTGTGATACTTCTCTTATAATATATATGTATTATATATGTAAATAATTGATAGAGTTTGGGGAATTTTACCCCATTTTAATAGAAGATGGATATTATTTTATTATTCAATTTTAAACAAATTACATCTAAATAAATATTATATTTTCTACTATTTTGCAAAATACACACCTTGCTTATATTCTACTGCTGACTACTTTTTTAAGTTTTAAAATATCTATTTATAACTAATTTTAACATTATCAATAGAATAATATTATATGACTATTTTAAGATGGTTTTCAACTAAATATTATATAAAATGGAGAGAATAGGCTGTATTTTGAAAAATAGCTGTGGCCATGTAAGTTAAATTATTAACAACCTTTGTCAAATATGCCTTCATTTTTTTCCCCTTAAATAGAAAAGCCAAACGAAGAACAAAGATAAACAGATAAAACTACTCAATGAAATCTTACATGGAATTAAGGTAATATACAAGGAATATGGCTTTAATTTCACTGTTTAGAATATAGTCATGTTAGTCAATAAATGAATTTTTATCATTCTTAATATCAAAGTAATTATATAATTGTATATAACATTCTTGGCAGAGTATTTCAGATTTCAGATATATAGGAATGCTTCTTGCTAAAAGAGTATTTAAATAAAACCAAATAAAGTGCAGGTGTTTTCTCTTTGTTTCTCACCCAACAACTGAACACAAATATCCCAAAAGACACAAAATGTGACTCGTTTGAAGGGATTGGGTAGAAGAGATGGAATGAAGTAGGCAAGTAGGCAAGAATGGCCCTAACATCATCTTCAGTGTGAAGGCAGATTTATATGGGGGAATGATGACATGTCATTCAGGTTCTTTTATGTGGAATAGAAATGATCATACAAATGTGATTCTGCAAAAGGTATGTTATAAATTATGTGTTCCATAGGAAAGCTACACCCCATGCCATTAATATTTTCTCTATGATAAAAGAGTGAAACCAACCTCATGAACTTTTAGATAGATGATAGATAGAAATTCAAAACCTGTTGCACCTGGATTATGCTTTATCAGATTTTTCTAAAGGGCAAAATTTATAAAGCCCACATGGAATTTCCTTCTGGAATTGATAATTGCATAGGAAATTTCCTCTGTCTGGTGCATCTATCACTATAAACATAGGTTATGCCCATTATATGTACACATTGATTCACTTTAGAAATCAATAAAAATTATGCTGTATTGTGCTGTGTAGAACTTTCACAACAATGAAAATTACTAAAGTGAAAGACATTGTTAGATAAAAGATACCCTGAAAAGAGACTGATACTCATTTATTTATCTAAAATTAAAAATAGCCTTAGGTATCTCTGAAATTTAACTCAGATTAAATTATTGAATAACTGAGATTATGTAATAAGGTCATATACTCCCAAAGTAATGTGATCCACATGCATCTTGTACCTCTCAGTGGGTTAATTGATAACCCCTGTATTCATAAAAAGGACAGCGGTGTATGTTTATAGGTTTTAAATATTGATACTCTTAAAAGGAAATTTATACTATTAGTAGGACTAGGACAGTGTAGATAAAATAAAGAACATCTCCTAAAGATATGAGCAAAGTCTAAAATTTGAAATAGCAGTCCCAGCAGTGAATACACTAGAATACTGGTAGAGGACCAAGTATAGGCAAGTTGAAAGTATAGCATAGTTTAAAGGTGTGGAGGATCAGCATCCCAGGGGTAAGGATAACAGATACCATGGCCTCTCTCTGATAATGATAATAGCTACCAATTAGTGAACATTTTCTATGGATCACACATGTACTTACCACTTTATATCTCTTTCCTCACATAATTCTTATGAACCCCAAGAAAATAATTTCTCATTCTCATTATGCAAACAAGGAAACAAAGTGTCCAATTAAGGGTCATGTGTAAGTTCACAGAACCAGTGGGAGATTTTTAGGGTTCTCCAGAGAAACCGAACCAAGAGGATGTGTGTGAATATATGTATATTCCAATTTACAATCTCAAAAACACCAGTCACCTTTCTGAAAATGGCTTCTAGTCCCATGCCATCAGTTTCCAAGAAATTGGGAGTCCAGGGAGAGGAGCATAGCTATTAAGAAATGGGGAGTGGATTGAAGTGAGAGTTGGACCAGCAGGAAAAGTACCAAGATTAAGCTAAACAGAAACTGCTATGGAGTTCATGCCAAGAGTTGGGATGTTGCCAAAGTCTGACTCAAGAATAAGCTATTGGTAGGTAAGAAGGACATAAGGCTAGAGAGAGATGGTGATCTTCCTCTCCCAGCCACCTACCCCACCCCCCGCAAAAAAAAAAAGCCCACAATTCAAGGAAACATTTTGACTCAGCTGAAAATAGGAGCACTTTACTTTATGAGTCCACCATATTTTTTTTTAACTTTTACAATTGTGTGTGGGGGTATGCTGTATATATTTGCATGTATGCATGTTTTTATTTTTTCTATGATTATGATTATCAAATAGTTATTGTCTGATTCCTTTACAGATCCTCAAACTTTATACATGGGAACCCTCCTATAAAAAGAAGATTATTGAAATTCGAGAGCAGGAATTGGAAGTTCAAAAATCAGCAGGGTATCTTGCTGTATTTTCTATGCTGACTTTAACTTGCATTCCATTCTTGGTGAGTGCGTATAATATTTCCTGTTTTGATTTTCAAATTTGATTTGCAGATTCACCTCCAAATTACTTGGAATTGCAGTGTCCAAAGTGAAATCTATATCTGAAATAAAATTTTCAAGAAATGCAGTCATTGACTTATGTAGATTAGGGAATGGAAGTTTTAAAGAAGGGGAAAATATGTGCATTCTCATTGGTCTGTATTTTTTACACATAATAAAATTTTACTTCTTTGTAAATTTCTCACAGAACAAACATGTGCTAGTCTATTCTTAAACAATATAACCTGCATTTCAGAGTTTCATTTCAGCTCTAGAATGTCTTGATTTGTGTGATTAATCCCTTTTAAGCAAGACCCAACACACACCATATAGAGTTGGGAAGAGAATTAACATTCATTGAGTGTTTCTCCTGCATGCCAGATAAGTTATAGAGATTGCTTTATTTCATTCTTGCAATAATAAGGCCTTTGCTTTTTTCATTTTACAAATAGGGAATGGAAGTCCATTCTAGTTTGGGAAAGATCCTCAGAGTTAGAGAATTAGTATTTGGAGGCAAATTGATAGGAACTGAGGGCATTCTCCATCATTACCATGTACACATTAGGCATACCATGCTATTTAAACTAGAGTATAAATTGCCTTGAGGTATGAAGCAATGAGTGAAAGCAAAAGGATAACGAAACCACATAGAACTGAAGCATCAGTTTTTTGTTTTTTTGTTTTTTTTAAAGATTTTATTCATTTTCTGACAGAGAGAGATAGCAAAAGAGGGAACACAAGCAGGGGGAGTGGGAGAGGGAGAAGCAGGCTTCCCATGGAGCAAGGAGCCCGATGCGGGGTTCTATCCCAGGACCCTGGGATCATGACCTGAGCCGAAGGCAGACACTTAACAACTGAGCCACCCAGGCGCCCCTGAAGCATCAGTTTTAATCAAAGTTACCATTCCTGCTGGTCATAGAGTCAGGAGAAATTCCATATGTCTCTTTTGTTGGTAATTTAAAATATTGTTATTTTTTATTTAAACAAATATGTGGGGATTATGAAAATAAAAGCAATATTTACATTTGGAATTCTTTGGTAAAAATGTCCAAGAAGCATTTGCTTAAGGTAAGTCCTAGGTACATGATAGTCAGTACATTCTCATGCATACATGAACTTTTCTGCCTTTTCTAAATGCAACTTACAGGAGTAAATATAAATGTTATGAGCCATAATTTATTCATACTTTCTTCAGTTAATTTTATGACTCACAGAAAGTATAATCATTACATATGAATCAGAATGTATACACATACCATTGGAAAATAAATTTACATAATAAACCATTTTGAAAAAAAGGTCAATTAGTATACATTTTATTTTAGTTTAGTTTTTAAATTTATTTGTCAGAGAGAGAGAGAGAGCACAAGCAGGGCAAGCGGAAGGCAGAGGGAGAAGCAGACTCCCCGCTGAGCAAGGAGCCTGATGCAGGACCTGATCCCAGGACCCCGGGATCATGACCTGAGCCAAAGGCAGATGCCCAACCAACTGAGCCACCCAGGCATCCCAGTTAGCATACATTTTAAATGGGAGTAATAACTCTAGTAAGAACACAGTGTCTTACAGAAGGGAGCTGGACCGCATGGTCTCAAGGATGCCATGGTCTAAGATACACAATTGTATAATCTGTATATCTTCGTGAACTGAACATTTATTTTCTATTCTTCAGCAATTGTACTGAATAGTACTGAATTTTGGTAAACAACAATAAAAAAGGTTTTAAATTTTTTCCCCTAATTTTTGGAACCTTAACTCTTCCTGTCATTAGCACTGAGTAATTGAAGGAAGGAACATGTCTCTATTTTTCAGGTGTCCCTGGCGACATTTGGCATCTATTTCTTGTTGGATGAAGGAAACATTTTAACAGCCACCAAAGTGTTCACATCTATGTCTTTGTTTAATATTTTGAGGCTTCCTTTATTTGATTTACCAATGGTAATCTCAGCTGTGGTCCAGGTACATCCAAAATATGTTTAAACTAAGAATCATTCATCTACTGGAGTCTATGGTTTTGCACATCTTCTTTCTTTCTTTTCTTCATTATTTATTTCTCTTTCTGTGGTTGTTTTACACTGCTTTCAAAATTAATCTCCCTGAATTAATGAGTAATAGAAAACATTAAAGAATGGAAGGAATCATGTCTTCTTTGCCTATGCTTTTCTTCTATCAAAATGACTTTTAAGTATTTTAATATAAGATTTTGTTTTCTTTGCTAAGTGTTAGTTTCTTTTATTTAGCTTTTTAAAAGCTGGGGTCAGACGCTATGCCATTAAAAGGCTCATTTTCTGTTTCCAATTGAAAAATTTTTAGCGAGGTGCTTTCCATGGAACTGGAAAGGAATGTTTTCCCAGGGTTCAGCAACATTTCATCTGCACTGAGTGAATAAAGCAGGGAGACAAGTGCATTGCTAGTATCAGTCTGTCAACAAACCATGTATGAGGTATTTGGTTCAGCCTACCTTTACTGTAATCTCCAGTCTCTGGAGATTCTTTGAATACTATAAGGAGTACAAAGCTGCTAAAACCACAGGGAATGTGAAGAAGTGAGTTCCTTGAATCCTCTGCCCTGAGATTTTCTGTTAAATTTTTTGAATGTCAGGTTTGGATTGCCTGGGTGTCCCCCATTGAATCCTTTTTCTCAAGTCTGGGTTCATAAACAAAGTGAAGCTTGGCTTATTGGAACCAAGAACAACTTTGCCTTTAAATTTTTATATTATTTGAATAAATAGTAATTTACAGTTACTTCATAGTAACTATAATAGTAATAATGATATTAAATTATATTAATTATATTGAAATTATAATAGTAATAATAGTATATTATTTCAATAAAGAATTAGATAGTGAATACCAAGTAATCCACTTTTGTTATAGCATGCCTTTTTTTGTTGTTGTTACTTTACTAATAATGACCAACAGAGGGCATAGAAGTACTATTGATGTGACTCTTTTAACACTTGTTTCATAGCATTCTTCTCTTAAGAAAAATGCCATTCTTAGAATAAGTTTTGTTTTGCTTTTGAAATTAGAATCTAGCTAAAGGTCTGGTATCTCAAAGTGTTCTCCAACTCCTAGTGGTACACTTCTGCTTTCACTAAATAAATACAGAGAGCAATTATCAAAAGAAAGAAAGAGAAGGAAAGAGAGAAGCAACCCTGCATACTAATATGATACACTTGGTAAACAAAACCATGGCCCAGTTTCATCTTATCCACTAACAATAGATGTCTTCTAGCGTCGAGTGAATAAAAATGCACTAGAAATTTCATGTAAGTTAGTTTCAGGAAAACAAAATTGATTTTATTTATCCTAATAGTAGCTAAGCATTTTGTAGCTATTTTACTGAAACTCAGTGTTATTATTGCCAAAGCTATTGTTTAATATTCAGAAGCCAAATTCATTCAACAGTTCTGATGTTGTTTTTAAAAACTAATCTTTCTATAATTATTAATTAGTTATTATGGCTTTCCTAGAGTGTTAAGAAGGAATTTTTGTTTTTTTTTCTCATGCCTTCCTGCATAAATGACATCTGTTTTGATCTTTGATTCTTGAAGCCGTTCTTTCTTTTTAGGAATGAAATTATTTATAAACATTAGAACAATTCAAACTATGCTTGCTGAATATTTAATCAGTATCTTCAATTTGCATCACAAATTTTTAATTGTGCTGTAAGTCTTTTTAGTTGAAGTTCTACTTGACCCCCAAATAAATTCTATCTGTGTTTATTTTGATAGACAAGAATATCATTGAATCGTTTGGAAGACTTTCTCAACACTGAGGAGCTTCATCCTCAAAATATTGAAACAAACTACATAGGAGGTCAGCATTTCCTCTGCACTCAATATTTATTTGACTTCCGGGTTGAAGATAATTGGCTCTCAAATGTATTTATTTTTCTTCTCAGATCATGCCATTGGTTTTACAAATGCTTCCTTCTCTTGGGGTAAAACAGGGATTCCAGTACTAAAAAAGTAAGTCACGGTTTGGGAAAAATGAAAAACAAAAATTTTTTTTTAGCATTGAATTCTAAAGTGTTCCATATTTTTATTTCTTAGCGTTTTTAAAGGAAAAGATGAATATATTGAAATTTACAAGACTTTTCTTTTTTAACCTCTCATAATACCTTCTGTTTTTATGGATTTTTTTTTTTTTTTTTTTTTTTTTACTCTTGTTTTCTATTCATTTCCTCTGTTTCCTCTGCAGCATTTATTGTTTGCATTTTGGAAGGTTGGGTATTCATAGAATAATTTAATATCATAGGAATAGCAGCAATTTCAAGGACAATGCTCAGCACTCTAACTTATCTGGGAATAAACATTAAAAATGTAACAAGAACTCCCTATATCATCTCTCTCCTTTTCTTGTCATGCAGCTTGAACATAAAGATTCCAGAAGGAGCTTTAGTGGCTGTTGTAGGGCAAGTTGGATCTGGAAAATCATCTGTGCTTTCTGCCATTCTGGGGGAAATGGAGAAACTTACAGGAGTTGTTCAAAGAAAGGTAAAGCCAACAGTACATTCAGTCCACATCTCCTAGTGTAATAGGCTATGGCCAACACATGGTTAGCGCCAATAAGAATTTATCAAATCAAATTGAAGATGCAAGTATTTAATGGGCATTTCTAGTTTGTAGCAAACATTTCAATTTCCACAAAAATTGATTAGCTATGGATGGATTAGTAATAGCACTCTGTCCTCCAAATACTTTAGCGAATCATTTATGAATGCTTATGGTAATTGTTTGATGATATTAACTGAATTGCAACCAATTATAGAGAAACTAACACAATTTATATTTTAATTTGATTTGGTTTCTAATTATCATTCATTGCAAAGTTACCTAAGTAATTACAGCCACATTTCTAAGAAGTCTTGTAGTTGCTCAGGGGTAGGGTCTTTGACCCAGAAAAAAAAAATCAGAAAAATAGTAATATTATTATTTTTTATTTTATTATGTATTGTTAGTCACCATACATTACATCATTAGTTTTTGATGTAGTGTTCCATGATTCATTGTTTGTGCATAACACCCAGTGCTCCATGCAGAATGTGCCCTCCTTAATACCCATCGCCAGGCTAACCCATCCCCCCAGCCCCCTCCCCTCTAGAACCCTCAGTTTGTTTCTCAGAGTCCATAGTCTCTCATGGTTCATCTAAATAATATTATTTTTAAATACTTTTAAATTTCAGCCCTTGGACTATGGACAGGACTACTCCAAACCTTTTGTTCTATTCTTAAAAGTCAATAGGAATAAGAATTCAACAGGTTCTTAATCAACTGTTATTTTTTTGAAACACTAGACTAATGAGTTTTAGATTTAACTAACTCTTAGGTAAAATACTAACCTAATTCTTCCTTCTCACTTCTGACAAGATGGAGAAGTTCTATGGATGTGAGACCAGTTACTTCAGTTTTTCTCTCTAGGAAGAATCAACTCCAACTCTTTCATTTTTCTTCATAATATGTATTTCCTCATATCCTTATGTCTTTTCTGATTCCAGTCCTCTAATGATTATCCCTTTATTTTTTCTTTTCTCTTTCAGTATTATTATTATTATTTATCTTAGGATCAACTATGGTATCTGGGACTTTTTCTGATAAGATTATACTTAATGAATACCACTACTTTAAACCTTAAGTATACTGTCTTTGTACCCTTATGTTCTTCATAATGATTGTAGTCAGTCATTTGTCTATAGTTGAAGATGACTGTAACTTATCTTAGGCCAGTGAGTATCCTTTAAAAATATGATTCTCAGGCGCCTGGGTGGCTCAGATGGTTAAGCGTCTGCCTTTGGCTCAGGTCATGATCCCAGGGTCCTGGGATCGAGTCCCGCATTGGGCTCCCTGCTCCTTGGGAGCCTGCTTCTCCCTCTGCCTCTCTCTCTGTCTCTCTGTCTCTCATGAATAAATAAATAAAATCTTAATAAATAAATAAATAAATAAAATCTTAAAAAAACAAAATAAATAAAAATATGATTCTCATATTGACTTTATTTTCATTTATTTAGTGTCTTCAGCTATTTTTACCGAGCAGTTATTGCACACATACTATGTGCCTGGCACTTAGTACTAGGGAAACAGGCATGAATATGATATACCCCTCTTTTTACAGTTTATTGTCTAGTGAGGGAGATACTAAAATCAATTATGACAAGTGTTTAAATCAGATATAAAAAAATGAATCAAAGTATAAAAAACAACAAACTCTGAAGAGTTAGAAAAATTATCAGATTTTTACTTGATCTTAAAAAAATATTTAGGAATTGATCAAGATAAAAACAATATCAATTCTGGATTTCATCTAATGCATTAATGTGCAAAGACCTAGCCCGGTTCTTGGCACAGAGTCAGCTAGCTCCCTGTGAATTTTTATGGTTATTGTTATCTTTATTATGATTGTTGAAGTACTCATGGTAAGATTTAAAGATTATTTCTGATCCTTTGAAGGTTTGAAATTAAAAAAACGTTCATGGTGATGCAAGAAATTATAACAATGCTGTTACTAATCACAAGACAGAGAGGACAACCTTTGTTTATATTAAGCGAGAGTTGTGGAAGAGAGAAGATACTATCTGTCAATATAATTGACAATTTTGTCCTTCAGGAAGTTCTTTGGTCTGGACCAATGGCAGGATATGAGGATATGGGGATAAATTATTTCCCAAAACTTTTTTTTTTTTTAAGAGAGGGAGAGAAGGGCAGGGGAGAGGCAGAGGGAGAGGGAGAGAGAGAATCTTGAGAATCTTAAGCAGGTTCCACACCCCGCGCAGAGGCCGTCTTGGGGCTCAGTCTCACAACCAGGAGATCATGACCCAAGCTGAAACCAAAAGTCAGACGCTTAACCGATTGAGCCACCCAGGAACTCCTCAAAACATTTCTAATCCTGAATTTATAACTGTCATTCTTATCATCTCTAATTTAAGAATAATAATAATAATAATAACGAACTTAACACTTAGTGTTTACAAAGTGCTTTTATGTTTTATCTTTCTGTTCCTCAAGGTTTCCTATGAGTACTTTTTTGAGGCATATCATATCACAACATTCAACCTTCAGTCTCCTTGTTCTCAATATCAAAGGTTCACACCAGGCACCATTCATGCAAAGTTTTCAGTATCCAGTGTTCTTTAATGGAAACTTAGAGATTTGGAAGACAGTTTTTGAGTTAGCAAAACTTCTATTATGGTTTCATTATTAAGAATAAAATGAAATAAAAACACATTTTCATTTGTATATGAAATTGAAATAATAATTATTCTAAAAATTAAAGGAAGAATTTATACCTCTGTGAAAATGGCAACTCTTCTTCAGCTCCAGTCACACCAACACATCAAGTCTATAGCTCTCAATATAGTATTTAGTTTCTGTTTTATATTTTGCACCATTGTTCCTGTTCTTCAGTCTTTTTTTCGGTGTTCTTCCTCTGTTCCCCTTATCTTGCTAAGTATATAAGTGTTCAAAATCTCTATCACTTGAGAATTGGTTTAATATTATTTTAATCAAAGGTTATTCAGGGTAAGGCAATTCAAGAGCAATTACTTTTGTGTTCAAGATCAAGTCAGATCAGAATTACATTGTTTGGGATCGAAAGCCACTCCATGTCTTATGTGCTCAACAAAGAAGAATTAAAAGTTAATCTTTGATTTATAAAGTACCTGGAGAAATCAAAAGGCTAATAGTTACATACATATCCGTAGGTTAGTAGGGCAAAAAGTACTTTAAGTGTCTTGTATTGTGTAGTCAAAATAAATTCTCTAAAATCAGTATATGGATAGAGTCCATGGGGCAGATTGAAAGGTAAGTCTCTAATTTAAATTTTGTGGGTCCTTTCTAAGAAAAGAAGGGTTAGTTAAAAGGATTTATTATACAGTAAACTGTCATATATTCAGGAATCATTTTGAGTCATAAAATCATCAAAAAGTAAGCCTGGGAGTAGTGAGTGTGTGGAAGATATAAATGTGCCACCCAGATACCCTAGGTCTAGCAAGGGCTTGCCTCCCAGCCCTGGGAGTACATACAGCAAGTTAGCTCCTTCAGGGTTGGCCTGCTGACAATGGCCTGGCTGAGGCCCCACAACTAAAGCCAGGTCAATTTAGCCTAACACGGAACAACTCTGATGGGTAATACTCTATTTCTCTCTAGAGGGTTGGTCAAAGCTTTGTTGGATCTGGATCACGGTGTGACTTTTTCATCCACCCAATCCTCCTACCTTCTTTCCTTCCACAAGAATGGATTCCAAATAAACAACTTGCACTCCAGGCTCAGTGTTATGCATTAAACTGTGTGTTCCCCCAAAATTCATATGTTAAAGTCCTAATCCCAAGAATGTGACTGTATTTGGAGATAAAGTCTTTAAAGAGGTAATTAAGATATAATAGGGTGGGCCTTAATCCAATATGACTGGTGTTCTTAAGAGAAGAAGAAATTAAGACACACATACCCACACAGAGGGAAGGCCATGTGAAGACTCAAGAAAAGGCAGTCATCCACAAGCTAAGGAGATAGGCCTTAGAAGACGTCAACCTTGCAGACAACTTGTCACACTTCTAGCCTCCAGAATTGTGAGAAAAGAAATTTCTGTTGTCAAAGCAATCCAGTCTGTGGTATCTTGTTAACGGCAACTGGAGCTGACTAATACAATCAGCCTCTGCTTCCAGAAAACTCCACCAGAGACAGATAACTTTGATAGAAACTACAGTGAAAGCAAATAAGAAGTACAAAGTAACTCCTTTGAAGGGGCCTCTATGAAACATGTATAAAATTAAAATGTAAATAGGATATAGTTACAGTTAAGAAATAACCTAGTTTTTTAAAAATTCAGTTTAAAGTTAAAGCAAAACTGTGGACTGAATATGTTCCTTTAATGTAGTATATGCAACTTTTTCTTTTCCCTTGTTAAGAGCATGTCTTTTATTTCTTCCCTTTTTAGGGTTCTGTGGCTTATGTTGCCCAGCAGGCCTGGATTCAGAATTGCATTTTACAAGAAAACATTCTCTTTGGCTCCATCATGCAGAAGCAGTTTTATGAGCGAGTATTGGAAGCCTGTGCCCTCCTTCCTGATTTGGAGCAGTTACCAAATGGAGATCAAACTGAGATTGGAGAAAGAGTAAGGAAAATATAATTTATCATATGCAGGAATAAAACTCCATTCAGCCGTGCTAATAAAATATTTATGGTCTTTTTCCTGAGGTCATAGAGAGCCATACACAACTATAATTTTTAAAAATCATTGCAGAGTTCCTATGAAGGAGATGGCAATATTAAGAACAAATAATTATCTATAATTGACTATTTGGAAAACAGTTTTAAAATCAGCAGGAAATTCTGTCGTTAGGATCCACGTGGGGGAATGAAAGCCCACCAACTGGATCATCAGCACTTTGTTTTCATTGCTGGCTCACTATCTAATGAGTGAATGATTGTTTGTTTTGTTGTTTTTTTTTTCCCCGTGTCTCTTGTGCACAAAGTCAAGCCTAGGACAGTAGCAACAGAGCACCAGTCTCCAGCGGTGGCACCGAGGCCAGGTTCTAAAAAGGCTCAGGGACGATGCTGTCATTAATGTGTCTTCTCCGTGTTTGCTCATTCTTGCTTAAGAGGATCTTGTTTCCCATAGTCTTTGTTCTATTTTATTTTCATTGCATTAATGAATAGTCATTACGCTGCCCAGTGTTTTGGAGTTAAAACAAAACAAAACAAGATAGCATGAGCCAAAGCATGAACCCCGAGAGATTATCTCCGACCCGTGACTAAAATCTCCATTAATTAAACATGAATGCAAAAGCAGCCTCTGCCCGTGATTCACATGTGCTGTGAAGATGAGTAAATAATCCTTGCCAAGTGCTTCGAATTTCTGAAAAGAGAGCATAGCATTGTTAGGCATTTTTACCCCTGGCCCCCTGTTGTTTAATAGTCCTCTTATATAAATTGATAAATAAAATAGAGAACAAAATCATAGAAAGTGGGCATATTAAAAAAACTCTAGAATGAGGCAAAATTTACCTCTTACATAGATTTATGTTGGCTTCGCTCATAGTCTGTTACTTTGCAGATGTATTTTCTCAAGTTATTAAATAGATTTAATTTTTTTCCCCACCTCTCTGGTTTTTTTCTGGTGTCTTCATTGTCTGTAGGCAAAATGGCCCCATAGCTAAAATTTTGCAGAAATGTGACTTCTTCAAACTTGTTAGTACATATTGAATATTATGCCAATAAAGCCAATCTCTAATAACATGAAATAGTTGATAATATGTAACTAAAAAGAATCTAAAGAAGAAAAATTTTCAAAATATGAAGTATATATTTAATATAGGCATAAATGTTATTGCTGTTTATAACTTTTACTTTTTATTATTAAGTGTCTCCCAATCTGATGATATACTTTAAAATAAACATGTAATTGAATATTCCAAAAGGCAATCTGTTTACAGCTGTTTAGGAGACAAGCAAGATAACAAAGGTAGAATTTTCCTCACTTTCCTTTATCTTTTCCTTTGGCATTCTTCAGTTGACCACAGATATTTATCAATGTATTATTATATGCCTTTATTCTGCTGTGGGGTACACAATAGTGAGCAAGAGAGCTATCACCCTGCCTTCAAGAGATTTTCAGTCTAGTGAATCTCTGCCAATGAAATTATCAGTTGTCCTTTATTAATATTAATCATCAGACAGTCTGTGTGCTGAGAATGCAAGGATGAATTTAGCTTATAGTCTTGTGAGGGAGACTGATGTGGATATAGCCATTTCTGGCAATGGGATGAGTAAATGGAGCACCATCAGGACAGGAATGGAGGGAAGGAATCAGTTTACTTGGAATACTGGGTGGAAGATTGCTTTCAAAGTGGACTTCCTAGAGTGAATAGCTTTTGAATTGAAAAGGGAAGATATGGGCTCCCTAGCAGAGTGACCAGCCTCTGCTAGTCTGGTTGGCAGGAAGCATTGGGAGAGTGGTTGAAAGATGAGTTAATACAAGAACATAAGTATTATACTAAGGAACTCGCTGTTGCTCATGGGTGATGGCAGATGAGATGTGGGCATCACAGGTGTTTAAACAAGGTGATTTCATAATCACAGGATATGCAATGACAAGGCAGAGGATGCACTGGAGAGAGGAGTGATTGGGTGATGATAGTGAGGTTGATTGCATCTGTACTTGGTGTTGGATTTGTTGTAAAAATTTTACATTCATCTTATTAAATGCTCATGACACACCCATGAGTTGGGGGCTGTTATAATCACACACACACAAGCACACACACATACATATACACACACACACACGTATCATATTACTTTATATATTTTTTTCATGCCTGTCTCCCCTGCTAAACTGTGACCTTCTCATGATAGAGGCTCAGTTTCATTTATCTCTGAATCCCAAGTGTTAGCGTAGCACCCAGAATATGGTTATACAAAGGAGGTATTTGTTGAGTAGGTGGAGGATGAGAAAAGCAAAAAAGCAATGGCTTTTATAATTAGAGGTAACTGGCTAAGTTCTGTGCTGCAAGGAGGGCTTTTAAGCCAGATCTGTAAACACTAAATATAAAATAAATAAAGGAAATTGGGCCTGGCCCCATAATTCTCTATATGTGGCTGTACATGTCGACTTTAATTCTCACACGGAATGATGTATATTCCTTATTCTTGCTTCTTAGAGTTGTACTTTTGCCAACAAGACTTGTACTAATCTTTCTACAGAATAAAATAGGACATGATGATTACTGCTTTGGTAATTTAGCTATTATTCTCAGTTTTCTATGTGTCAATTTAAAAATGATCACTGGTGTCGGTATATGGTTGGCAGCCAAAAGTCTTATTTAGTATTTCAGAGGCATGACTTTTCAGAGTTAGGGGATTGGAAATTGTTTTCTCCTTAATTGTTAGTATCTACTTTTGAGAGCAAGCAGTTAAGAAAAAGTAGATATATCTGTTAATTTGCACAAGTTAGTAGCACTTCGAAATAGGGGGTGGGGGTAGGCCTTTGGATTTTGTAATAAAGAAGGGTTTGAGGGTTAATCTTGAGTTTTCTATCCATGCTGCAGAAGAGAAATTGGATGTCACTATACGTGCTTTGAGATTTACACATTTATGGTCTTGGTTTTTTCCTCCTGCTCCATCTGCAGGGTGTGAATATAAGTGGGGGCCAGAAGCACCGCGTAAGTCTGGCCAGAGCTGTGTATAGTGGGGCTGACATCTACCTCCTGGATGATCCCTTTGCTGCAGTTGATGTCCATGTTGGAAAGCAACTTTTTGAGAAAGTGATTGGGTCCTCGGGTATTTTGAAAAACAAGGTAGCCATAGTGTCACTTATGCTTTTGGGGGGAAAAGGGAAGATGATCATCTGTATAGCATTGTGCCTAAAATTCCAACATGTTGTTCATTTGTTGAAGTAAAGTAGTGATATTTCATATGAAAAAGGGGATATCATACTGACCTTTTTACAGATAAACTTTAATGAATATTTTTTAAAGTTTTTTTTTACAAGTTTACCCTGACAATAATTTATGTGATTGTTACCTTATAGACTGATACCATACTCTAAGGGGATTTGTATGTCAGAATGAATTGGTTTTAGTTTACTTGATTTTTTTTTTAAGTGGTATTTTCATACATAACACTTGCATAAAAAAGTATTATTTTACTGATTATTTATTACTTAAAACTATGGTATTATTAACATAGCAGTAACAATTCAGCTCTCTTGTGAAAGGGCCAAGAAGAAAGGAATTAATATTTACCAAGTGCATACCATGTCTGACACTAAATTAGTTCATTTAGTTCTTATAACAAGTCTCTGAATAGGTATTATTATTCCTGTTTTACCTATGAGGGAATTTGGGACTCAAAATGATTTGATACAGGTAGCTTAGCTTAAGAACAGCAGAGGTTTTAATAACATGTAGAATTGTTGAATCACTATGTTGTACCCCTGAAACTAATGTAACATCGTGTGCAAACGTGTTTTAATTAAAAAAAAAAAAAAAAAAGAACAGCAGAGATTTTAAAAAGTTTGTCTGACCACAAGGCCATACTCATTCCTTCATAATATGCATTTATAGACTTGTTAATATAAGGCACTCTGGAAAACATTAAGTAAATGCATGAAATGTTAAAGTATATATCTAAGTAAATAATAGATAAATGTCTTTACTTATTAAAATGACCCCAAGATAAAAACCTCTGGTTCAATCCTATGTGTATGTGTACAATAATATGGAAAGACTTAAAAAATAAATACTATGAATTATGACTGGAATCAAACACTTTATTGTAATGCTATAGGACCTTTAAAAAGTAAGCATGAATGACAGATATGAAATTTTTAAATTTGTTATGAAATTGATTCATTTTTAATGAATGAAGACTACCTGAACCAGAGGGTTAAAACACTTGCAATCTTTTGTTTGTTTGTTTGTCTGGTTTTTGTCTAACAGCATATAATCATTCATTGTGAAATACTTATATGCTGCCTTATACTGGTACCTACTAACGATTACACTCTGAAATAGCAAACAAAACAAAACAAAACAAAACTGCAGCTTTCTTTAAAATAGATTATTTTTACCTTTTTTTTTTTTTTGTAACCCAAGGAATAAAATACTGTTTTTCAGACTCGTATTTTAGTGACACATAACCTCGCACTTCTGCCACAGATGGATCTGATTGTTGTCATGGAGAGTGGCAGAGTTGCACACATGGGAACATACCAGGAGCTGCTGTCAAAAACCAGAAACCTCACAAATTTGCTTCAGGCCCTCAGTGAACGAGAAAAAGGTGAGACACGATGAAAAATAAGCCTACAGTGCCATGTGCCTAGCCATTCCGAAAGTCCATTAATTGTGTGATTTCTTACAATGCATTTTTCTTCATTCATCCTGCTTAAGTCAGGAGCTGGGCACCTTCCTTTCTCTAGAAAAGAAACAAATGTTGGGACACATCAGCTAAAAATTACCCTCATTTATGATTTTTTAAGCAAAATGTTATGCCCCACGATCTGTTTGTTCATTTCTGAAATAAGAGATTAGTTGATTTATAAGCTCTACTGCGGGCTTAGAATATAATGGGTCTAAACATTCTACTTTCTTTAAAATTAAGAACAGGGAGCATAAATCCATGTCAAGTAAGTAATAAATATTTTAAACATATTGTTGCATGCTGAGGAGGAGAAACGAACAAACAGAAAAGGAATCTGAGGAAAGACAAAGGGGAATGATATTTGTCTAACTTTTATGAGACAACAGTTGAGTTTATGTACTGATTTTTGTTAGTATAGTCCTACCATTTTAAATTAAGATTATACATGTTTATGTAAATGAAGTGTTTTGATCCTTACCTAATTAAGACACAGGGATGTTTGAAGTTGAGTATTAGCTTAATATTCTAGAGGTCAGTTATTTCCCATCTTTGAAAGTGTAGGGGCGCCTGGGTGGCTCAGATGGTTAAGCGTCTGCCTTTGGCTCAGGTCATGATCCCAGGGTCCTGGGATGGAGCCCCACATTGCATTGGGCTCCCTGCTTAGCAGGGAGTCTGCTGCTCCCCTGTTTATGCTCTCTTGCTCTCTCTGTCTGTCAAATAAATAAATAAAATTTAAAAAAAAAAGAAAGAAAGTGTAATGTGCATCATCTCTTTTTCCATCTATAGATGCTTTCTCAGGCAGACCACTATGATACTTGTCCTATAACTTCCCAGAATACCACTGGGAAATGACTATAAAATCAGTTGACTACTTCATAATTTCAGGGTAACAGAGGAAATATAGAGCTATATCTCACTATTTCCTATATGAACTTGTATCCACTAATCACTTTACACTGTACCTAGTTATAAAAGTCATAAAAATATGAAACCAGTTTATAACAGCATCGGTGCAATTTATTATTTGAATGTTGTGAAATCAAAGCGATTTTGTTGATGTGTTTCTTTTTTTGGACCTAAGCTAATACACTTTAGTTATATACTACTATTTTTTGTCTTTCTTGTCTTTATTCCTTTCTCAAATTCAAATATTCTATTTGTAGATGCATTCAGAAATATCTGATGCATCATCAGATGGCTATGGTCTTTTTTTTTTTTTTTAAGATTTTATTCATTTATTTGAGAGAGAGCACGAGCAGGGGGAGCTGCAGGCAGAGGGAGAAGCAGGCTCCCTACTAAGCAGGGATCCCGATGTGGGACTCGATCCCTGGACCCTGGGATCATGACCTGAGCCAAAGGCAGACGCTCAACCGACTGAGCCACCCAGGCATCCCAGCTATGGTCATTCTTAATAAAAGAAGCACCTTCTCTTCTCTTAATGGCTAACAATTTTGAAAATGATCTCTTGTCTTCTTGGCCAAGCTAAGTAATAATTTATGCTTACTGTATGTATAGGAAAGAGGTGACTGTGAGTGTCTCCTAGGATGAAAGTGTGGTCTGTCATTTTTCTCTATTCCCAGCACTTAGGTAGCTTCATGCTAGGCACATTACTGGTCCTCAGTAGCTGTTTGTTAAACAGGTGAATCTGCCAGAAGCATGTCTCCTCAGGAGTTAATGGGATGATTTGGAATGCTATGAGCCAGTGTATTTTTCATGTGGCCATTTATTTTAAAGGCCACATGAAATATAAGTTGTATTACTTTGGAAAATATAGCTCGAAAAGCAGGCAATGCATAAGTTTTGTGGTCAATATTTAATTTACCATAAAATATAAACAGTGTATCTTTTGAAAGTTGTGGAATTTGCTCTTGTTTAAAACCCCAGTTTTGGAAACAAATATCATGCCTTCTCTTTTATTTCTGTATAACTTCTTATGTACATGAATCCTCTATGATAACAAATGGAAAGCAGTATTATTCTTGAAGTTGGCCTGACATTAATAGATGTTACTACCTCACTGTCAGAAATATGCCAGAGTTAGAAAAATGCAAATTGAACTTTTTTTTCCCTAATGACTTCAATATTGTGTCTTCTCTATCAAAATTCAGGAAGGTGATGAGTAGAGATAATTTTTGTACTAAAAATATAATACATTTTTGAAAAAGGATATTTCTGGGATTTTGATTTTTTTGGATGCTGAATAAAAAAATGTAAAGGCTTTTTAAAGGCCACCATAAAATTACACATGATGATAGATAGATATTTGTAAAAGGTCAGTCATGTATAGTGTAATTCCCTTAGGGGCCACACAGAGCAAGGCAAAAGTAGATTTTGATGATATAAACCACCCCACTAAATAATAGTTTCAAACCAGGTTACATTCAGTGTCAAGTTCTTATTTATTTATTTATTTATTTGAGAGAGAGAGTGCACGTGAGCACAAGTCGGGGGAGGAGCAGAGGGACAAGTAGACTCTGCGCTGAGCCCAGAGCCCTACGCGGGGCTCCATCTCAACAACTCTCAGATCCTGACCTGAGCCGAAATCAAGAGTCAGATGCTTAACTGACTGAGCCACCCAGGTGCCCCCAGTGTCAAGTTTTTACAGTGCTGCCCTTAGATCTGGACCAACATGACCTAGTACTATACTCTACCTTATTCTGGCCTTTCTTAGCTGCCTCTCTAGTCAAGAGCCCAAGGATTGTGCCCATCAGGGGTCTCCTTCCAATCTTCTACTTCTTGAGTATTACAGATATTTTGGGGTTCCAGAATTCTCTGCCCAAATAACATAAACTTGTTCCTCAATCCTTTCCTCCCAAAGGCAGGCTAATCTCCTGGCATTTGCCACTCTTTGGCCTGAGGAATTTTTTCTTTCTTGGAGAGATAGGTTAGGGTGAACAAAGCCTGGACATATGGGCTGAGGTGTCCACAGACATGGAGCAGGATGGGGTTGGGGTGGGAGAGAAGGGGACAAGGGCCTTTACTGGGACTACCTCACCTAGGACTGTTAGGTTTCCAAGGAGCTCTTAGGATTTCAAACACTCTCACATGGACCTTAGCTTTCAGGTGGTTGGGAAGGTGTATTGGTTGGGATAAGCAATAGAACTTGTTTATGGTAAGTTGGTTGGTTCCATCTGTTACTGTTAAATAATTAGGAATATGGTATGTGGGCCTTCATTTATATTCTTGCCCTGGTACCCACCAATGTGAGGTGGAGGCCTGTCCCTGTGGGGCATTTCTTTTTCTTATTTGTATAAGTAGTAGGGAAAACTCACATTATATCTGAGAGCATTTTTATTGGGATTTAGGGGAAAAGGATTACCTAGACAAGGAGTGGAATTTGAGAGGTATGATCCCCAGTACTAAAACACCCTGTGATCTGTCATTTATGTTTTAATTTATCTTCTTTGATCTTGAGTCTGTTCAAGAATTTTTTTAAAAGGTACACAATCCTTCCATTTTAAAATTCATGTTAACTTATGTGACACCAGAGTGGGAGTAAAAGTACTGGGCCAATTTTAGGTTGCCCCAGGCTCTAGTTCTGACTCTGAATAGCTATGTGAGTCTTCATAGAGTTGACTTAACACCTCTGGTTCTTCCCATTTATGAAAAATGGGACTGAACTAAGTCTTTTTTTTCCTAGTGGCTGATGTGGAATTGAACAATGCACCTTTTTATCATTCCCTTGCCTCCAAAATTACTTATGACTTAGCCACTTTTTCTTCTTTTCCTATCATCCTCACCTTCACTAGTAAGGTTAATAGCAGATAACTTAGAAAAAGTAATTTTTATAGTATAATTTGGGTTTGGATACATTAGATCTTGGAGACTCCATCCAGCTCAGAAAAATCTACAAATCTCACCTTAAGGGGATATTATATTAGAGAATCAGTCAGAGGTGAGAAGAAAGGTCAATGAAGAAAGATATGAAGACTACTGATAAATTTACATATTTATAGGTTTAGTCTAGGCTACTTCTTTCCCACACTAATAATCCTGGTGATAGCTAGGAGGATGTCATGGGTAGTAAGTCAATATATTCACAACTTTTACCTTTACTTAATCCTCCCCGAAACCTCCTGAGACTGCATGGTCATGATTTTACAAAGATTAGGTATCTTGCACAAGTTAAGACAGATTGTAAGTGGCAGAATTTGAATCTGATACTACATCTGTTTCATGCGAGGCCAGCCAAACTCTTAAACATTATATCAAATGTGTAGGAACAAGTACGCTGACTTGGTGTGAAGAGACAGGAAGGGGTGTGTGGCTCAGCTCACTCTTGTTTGCTCTGTCTCTGTCTCTCTCCCGTCCTCTCTGTCTCTTTGATAACTGTTGGTTTCAGCAAGTCACTTATCCTATCTGAGTTTTATTTTTCCTTTGCAAAATATGGATAAGCTTAACTATTCTCTTTATCTTATAAGCTCATTTGGTACTCAAATTATGTAATGTATGTGAAAGACCTCTATAAATTGCAAATATGTAAATTTTAAAATTATTATTATAAACTATAAAAATGAAAACGGTCCTTAGGCAGGAGGGGGCTGAAACATCTCCAGATCAAATTTTCATTCTGTGAGACATGGAATACCATGTTTCATAGAGATGGTTGATGTAAGTCAGATTTTTCCATTAAGGGCTATTAGATGTTTACTTCTAGAAATAAGAAAACATAGAATTCATAGAAGAGATTGTAGAAATTCCCAGGTCCAGTTCCTTTCTTTTAAAGATGAGAAGTCTGAAATTCAAGGAGTTTAAGTATTATACTGTAACAAAAGACAAAACTCAGCCAAGCTCTGAGATGTTTCCCATCAAATTCACAAGTAGTAACTTGAACCTCAATCTTGTAGCTCTAGATGTGAGACCTTGTTTTGTGTGACCTGCTTAACTTCTCTATGCCTCAGTCTTTTCATCCCTAGAATAAAGGGATAATTATAGTGTCTTCCTCATAGGAATCCTCTTGAGAATTAAGAATAATATATATATATATATATATAATTTAGAAAAATGCCTGCCATATAGGAAGCTATTATTAGTATTAGTGACATTAGAAAGAACGTGACAGAGATTTGGGGAATTTACCATTGTGTTTCATTAGTAATCTTCATAATAATCAAATTGTCTATAAGGCTTCAATAAATTGCATTTTTCTTTTAAAGACTAGAGTCATGTTCCTCTTGGGCAGATACCTAGCCGTTCTGTGGAAGTCCAAAACAAGTTAGCACTCCTCTCTAATGTCCAAAAAAATAATTTGTGTAGGCTTTTTCATTATGAAATCTTAGTTTTAGAAGATGTTAGAAGATACTTCAGGTGAAGGGGAAATAATGGGAAAAATGAAAGGGCTCTCTGTATACCTGTGGATCCAGAACACAAAAATTTCTCCAACTGGTATAATCTTTCATCATATCTCTCTCTATTTTATGCATTGTTTGCTTATATGTATATAAAAGCACTCACCATCTTCCTCTCCAGCTCATGCTTTAAAGCGAGTCAGTGTAATCAACTCCAGAACTATACTGAAAGACCAAATCTTGGAGCAAAATGATAGGTGAGTATTAGGATAATACCAGGCTCACTGGGATTATTAATAATTAATTACAATCCTTTTAACATTTAAAATGCTTCCTTTATAAAGGATCTACACATTATAATGGCTACAATATGTACTTGTCTCCAGATTTTAAATTCTAAGTTAGATGGATGTGTCTAAGGTTTTAAGAGAGATGGATGTGACTTAGTTTGGGAAATACATGCTCATTAGACTCTCAGTAACTTCTAGACAAATTCTAGTAGAATTGTGTATGTGTGCGCCCTGTTCCCAACCCATAACAGTCATACCCACTGCTGATGTGAATGTGAAATAAGCTTTAGACGTGAGAATTCTACAATGGACTGGTATGGTTATCAGAACAGGGTATGTGACCTAGAAATAGGGACTTGGTGTTGGAATCTGTTAAATGAAGCAAGAGAGAGGAAATAAAGAAGAGAGGGAGGGAGGAAGTGAGGGAGGAGGTGGGGGAGAATGTACGAAGGGAAGGAGGGAGGGAGGAAGTGAAAGAGGGATAGGAGAAAGTGAGAGAAATAAAAATCATAAAACATTGACCCTGATTGGATTTTGTTACATTATACTTCTTTTTTTTTCCAAAAGTGACTAAAATGAACAGTAATTAAAGCAAATTACCCTAATCTGTTATTTACCCCAGTATTCCCCATAGCAGTTGCAAATAGGAGACTGAAAGAAAAAAAAAAATAGGAATAAACAGAATTATAGGGAGCAGCCACTCATCAAAATTGCTCAAATGGAGAATCGGGATGGATTATAAGGAAGCAAGCACTTTGGGATCCATTGGCTCAGAATTTTGTAGATTTGACCTTGAATTAAAAAATGGACCTTGAATTTATTTATTTATTTTGAAAAGAGTAGATGTTCCTAAGGATGTGTGGATGTTGCAGGTTTGAGTTTTGCCTCTATATCAGATTCAGCAGAGTCAATAGATCAACTAAAGCATTCTCCCAGATAGCCATACAACTTGCTCACCCACCTTTTGCAGGTCTTTGCTCAAATATTACCTTATTGATGAAGACTTTGGGTTTAGCCACCCTATTTTGTCACAGTACTTCCCAACCCCTTCCAGGCTTTTTTTTTTTTTTTCTTATAATTCTTACTAATTTTCAGTATACTGGAGAATTTATTTACTTTTATTTTGTCTTTCACTTCTGGGTTTTAAGCTTTATAACAGCCTAAATTTTTGTCTATTTGTTCATTGCTTTATTGCCATCTAAGAAGTTTCAACTAAACACTGAATAAAAAGCTGTGTTATATGTTATAATAACATATAAGCTGATGTTCAATAAATAATTGTTGAATGGATGAATAAGTAACTGAATTCTGAAAGAACACTCAAGGGTCTTTTAATCCATCATTTATTCTATTTTATTTTTTTGACCATTATGACAATACCTTTCATTTAAATGAGTGTCCGTTTTTAAGGATCCCTAAGAGAAGTGAATCTAGAAGCACTGAACCAGACTTTGAAATTCATGTGCTATAGGATCTACACATCTCTAATCCTTAGGAGAATTTTCACCTGTGTATAGTTTCACCATGTAGTCAATATGTAACTTGTTTAAAAGCTTAGAACTTAAAAATCAGTAAGTATTGGTGTTAACTTAATCATACCCTTCTCTGTATAATAAATCAGTTGTCCTTATGTATAAAATCATTGTCAGTCACAATAGCTAAATTGAACCCTGTGAAGTTTTTGTGAATCACTTTTGGAAAGTTTCTTCTTGAAACAGGAATCCCAATCCCTATAAAAATTTATTTACAGAATTGATTTCTAAACATTTCTCAAGTTGTGGAGGCTCAGACTGAAGCCAGCATTCTGAAACTTACTTCTCCAGTGATTGAGTACATTAGGAAGATCGCCTCAATTCCAATATGTTACATTCTTGTCAACACAACGCAACTTCAAGCTTACTTCTTAATAACCGCGATGAAAATGTTATTGGCGGTCCATGAATTCCCCACGCTGATCTTTTCTTGTTTGTCATCATAGTATTTAAATCATTTTTTATCTTGTGTTTGAGAGACCAGAGACCTATTTCAGTTTTTCCAAAATATGTGCATGTTTGGCTACTTCCTATGTATGTCCTTCCTATGTATTTATTTTCTGTGCTACTTCTCATTTTAGCTTTCATTTTTTATCTGCTTTACTGTTTGGTAAGATAATATTACATGGAGAAAATTTCCCTGACTTTTTAACCTAACTTTCTATTTTTTAGAATTATCCAATTTCCACTTAGTGCAGCATTAAGATAGACTAGGGGCTGGAAGATACACACAGACAGGAACTTTACAGCAGTTAGAGACTCTCTACAGTGGGATGTGCTGAGATAGAATGCAGTGAGTCTTCCTCATGGAAGAGTTAGTTCATGGGGATAGTGGCTAACTGCCCATCAGGAGGGGGGTAAAAAGGGAGTTAGACTAAATAATGTCTGAAATTTAAAACTTAGAATTACTTTATGATATGTTAGCTCAATTCGCTAATAGGGACTAAAATAATTTGAACTGTTTCTACATTTTGCTTTTCACTTCCTGGTTTAAATTTACATGGTATATATTAATTATTTTATTTCTTTAAATATTTATTAATATCTTCCTCCAATAAAATAAATCAGGAATGTGATTTCAGTATTAGACTGCCCCCTTCTGTCTTTCATGTCAGACTCTTTTAATCACTTTAATCCTCCCATACATATTCCATACTTTGCAACTGCATGCTCAGTTCAGGGATAATGGTTTCAGTATGTTAATTTTATATCTTTTATACAAAAATATGCAGACGGGTATTGTGCCAACTTTCCTGAGGTTTTCTGAAGGACAACACAAGACTCATTTTTAAAACTTCTCTACTAGCATAAAATAATTTGCTCTTTTAAAATTCAGATGGAATCTGTTATTCACAACAGAGTGCCCAGAACCAAATGCAGTATTTTTGTGGAAAAAGAATAAGTAACATTGTAGTTTGCAAAAGCAATGCCCTCCTGTATGGTGTCCAATAAATTCTTGATCTTTGTTACTTATGTCTAATTAGGATGCTTTAATTCCCTTTTAACAGTTGGGTTTCATAGCATTTTATATCCAACTACATTAAGAATTAATTTTTTGGCTTGACAACCAATGCTGAATTTGCTTATCCAAACAGAATCCATGCCAAGGGCTTGAAGGATGATGACAGTAATTAACCCAAATCATATACCAGGAGCTGTTCCAATGAAAATGTCTGTTAAATAGTGTATCTTTTCCTGATGGGGAAGCTGATTCTACAAAGATCATGTATTGCAACCTCGCACAGAATGTTTCTTGACACTAGTGCCAGAGATAGAAAGGGAAGAGCCACCAGACTGATCAAAAGCCTTTCTTATTCTGGTAAATAAAATGGAAAACATGGAGAAATGGGGGGAAATTAAACTCAATTCAGACCTTAACATACCCCATGCTTCTGTGTCCCTACAAGGAACAAAGAGAGATGTGTAAAAAGAATGATCATTACAGCAAAAAAGTAGGAAAAATCCACAGCCACTAGAACTACTGAGTTTGTTAAATGAATCTTAATATAGTAAAATGAAAATATAATGCAGTTATAGAATAATATTTTAGGTTCATTGCATACTGAGTTACAAAGACCATGTATAAAATTGTTTAAAAGTTGAAGAATGGTTTTAGAACAACATTTGTATTATGATACTACACACATGTGGAGGAAAGACTGGCAATATTCACAAACATGTTAGCACCAAATGTCTCTGGAACATAGGATTATGAATCTTCCTTCTCCTGCTTCTCTTCTTCCTCTTTTTTTCTCTCCTCCTTTGCCATTACTTTTCTTCATGCTGTTAGGTATTTTCCAACTGTTTCTCCAGTAATACAGTTCTAGAGGAATTGACACATACCAGGTGATTGGTTAGAAATGTACCAAGATTGAGACAAAGGAAGTGTTTGTGGCCCTTTACAAAGTCAGAGAAAGCTTTAAAGGAGGTAGGAAAATATCTGGTTCAGTTTAGGGTGGTATAGAGATAAACAAGCAAAGAGATGAAGTAAGCATGTTACTGTAGAGATCTGGAACTCAAGGGAGAGGTATGGACTAGAACAATCAGTTTGAGAGTCACCCACAAAGAAGAAGGTCATTGAAACTGAGTGAATGAGATTACTCAGAAGAGTGGAGCATACAAAGGAAATGGAGTTGGCCCTTGAACAATGTAAGGGGTTAGGGCATCAACTCCCCCATGCAGCTGAAAATGTGAGTATGACTTTTGACTCTGCAAAAGCTTAACTACCAATAACCTATAGTTGACCGGAAGCCTTATTGATAGCAAACAGTCAATTAATACATGTTTTATATGTTATATGTATTATATACTGTATTCTTACAATAAAGTAAGCTAGAGAAAAGAAAATCTTATTAAGAAAATCAAAAGGAAGATGCATTTACAGGACCGTATGTATATTTATTGTAAAAGAAATCTGGATATAAGTGCACCTGTTTAGTTCATGTCTGTGTTGTTCAAGGATCGACTATAATGACTAGAATTGAGCCTGAGGAAACATAAACATTAAAGAGAATACAGAGAAAGGCACCTAAAGAGAAACTCACAGAGAGGGCCAGAGGGGGGTGAGAAAATACAAATGCATGGTGGTAGGGAAGTTAAAGGAAATGTTCCTTAAACAAGGGAGTGGTCAATGATGTTAAGTGTCATGAAGAGTTTAAGTGAAATATTTTTTAAAGTACCGCATGGATATAACAATAAATATTTCAATCATTTCATCAAGGCACCATTGATGGAAACACTTTCAGCCAGGTGCCAGACAGTTGAAGGAGGCAAAGTGGTTCAGCAGAAAAATGTTTGGCTATAAAAGGAAGGCAAGATAGGATGGTAACTGACGAAGGACATAGAGTTGAGAGTAGTGTCATTTTTGTGGTGATGGTTTTAAGATGAGAAGAATGTGTTGTTCTCTATGGGCTGATGGGAAGGAGTCAGGAGTAGGGAGGAGAAGATGAAGATTAGAAAAAATTGGGAAGAACTCAGGGTTTCTTAGATTTGCCTTAAGATGAGAATCCCTTGGATCATTTGTTTGAAAGGCAGGTTTCTAGTGGGGGAAATCCTATAATCTGTATTTCTTTTTTTTTTTTTTAAGATTTTATTTATTTGACAGAGAGAGACACAGCGAGAGAGGGAACACAAGCAGGGGG